CTGACAGAGGTAGAGTTTGACCCCGGCCTCTGAGTAGGTCACGCCCTGGGACAGGTGGTAGCGCAGGTCGCGCCCAGCAGCAGTCCGTCACCATACATGTCCTCCTCGTCTGAGGGACACGGGTACAGCGTGTTTGTGTTAGGGTGCAACGGGTTAAGTGTTTGTCCACTCAGACGTTGGGTAAACTGATAACCAATCACGCCTCAGAATACACCGTATAATTAGATGCCGTAAAACAACACTTCTATCGTCCATGTAATCGACCAGTCTGTAAGACAGGGATAGGAGCGAAATAGCATAAATACAACCTCTGACGCTAGTAGGAGGCCCATTCAGCACAGTAGAGAACAGAGTGTGAAAGGGGAGGATGAATGATGATGATGGAAGGTCGCGATGGATACAAATGGGGAGCGAGGGGCAAATGGTGCCCATAGAAAGGAATGAAATAAAGAGAGAAGAGAGACTCTAATAAAAAATGACGGGCAATTGAATGGAAGCAAGGGAAAGAAGGGAACGAATGGAAGAGGTAGGGTGAGAGCGAGAGAAAGAGAGAGAGAGAGAGAGAGAGAGAGAGAGAGAGAGAGAGAGAGAGAGAGAGAGGAGAGAGAGAGAGAGAGAGAGGAGAGAGAGAGAGAGAGAGAGAGAGAGAGTGGGAGAGGGTAGGAGGGATAAAGAGACGAGAGGTTGATCTGAAAGGATAAAAAAACGCGGAGTCACATTATCTCAAATGCGTCTATGAATACCTATTAGACGACTTATACAAATAAGTTGCGGTCCCAGCTAGCCCACCTCATATTCATTCCGTCTATTACAGCCACAAATTTTATCGTGTAGCTGCACTAAGCGGGTCAGGTCCGGGCCATTGCCGCAGCGATTACGCTGAGCGGGCCGGGTGACAGTTTGGCCGTGTGTCGCAGGTGGTCGGGCGTGGCGGCGGGTGGCCCAGCCATCACCTGGGGAACAATAGACGTCGCGACCCGCGCGGCTCGGCCGTAACCAATGGCCGCCATTTACCGACACCGGCCGGCGCCGGCCGGGCGGCGGCGGCTTATTAGAGCGGCGCGGCTTCCTGGCGAGTTGCAGCTCGGCCGCCGCGGCACCTTGGAGATAGGCGGGGCGGCACGGCGGACCAGCGCGGGGGGCCTTGACTGTCGATCAGTCCCGGTGGACCAGCGCGGTGGACAAGCGCGGTGGACCAGTCATGGTGGACCAGTCATGGTGGACCAGTCATGGTGGACACTCGGCAGGCCCAGGTGTACTGACAGACCTTGGCGGACACCCAACAGTCCCTGGTGGAGACTCGACAGACCCTAGTGGTGAACTGACGGCGGCGGAGAGTCTCAGCGGACTACCTGAGAAGAATCAGCCCCCCCCCCCCACCCTTTCCCTGAGGAGCAGTGCACTCCGGCTGTCCGTCCCGGCGGCGTATTCGCCAATTGTATTACACGAATCGGTCGACCAATAGCGTGCCTCTTGAGTGACGTCAGCGCGGCGTCATACGTTCGGTCCCTTGCCCTTGGTGGCGTCTATTGAAGCTAGGTTTTAACTTAAAGACATGTAAGCTACCACGGATATGTTGTCGCCGTGGCGATGTGGTTAGGGTATCGGACTGGTGATTCAGAGGTAGGTGGTTCTAATCCACTCGGCGACCTCAATTTTCGTGTCATCTGTCATTGTGCGTTTTTTTTGTACATTTGCAACGGCGTGCACCAAAGAAATCAGACGTAGGCATTCTTCTAATAAATATGTTGCATAAGATGAATATTTGCAGTCCAATCGATTGGTTCGGTTTCGGTATTTTCCAATGGTCTTTGTTTGTATTTGGTTTGGTATCGGTGTTGTGATTTTCTGTGATTGACATCACTAATGCATAGTGCATACTATGCGAACGTAGCCAATGGAATGACAAATGGTGCTGGGCGATGGCCATTGATCAATATTTCTCACTGCCAATGGATGAGAGCACGCAGCATATGACAGAGGCGGCGCTGATCTTTTGAAAGTAGGTGGGCACTTAGCAAGGTAAAGTACCTAAAAGTAGCGAGAACTAAGATGAAAAGTAAAAATCGCACGCTGGTTAGCAGGCTATTAGATAGTTTTTCGTGTAAGAATCACCATGCACAAAAAAGTTCGGCATAGCTCTGTTAGCGTAATCACGGGACGAGATTATCAGTTTCGAGCCGTCAAAAAGCGCGTCATCTATAGGAGCTATGCCCTAACTATAACTTTTACATTTCAGCCGCCAGGGGGATACCTAAGTCCCCTTACTTGGAATCTAGTTAAAGTCAAAAAGATTTATATTAGACGTTTATAAAGATAACTTGGGACTGGTTGTTAAGTTGCATGCTCACGGCGGGCTGTCATCAATTTATCTCTATACATGTCTTATCTGATCGATGAAATCATACAGGAATCCGTTGTCATTCGAGTGTGTTTCATAATAGCTCTTCCGACGTTGGCGAATATCGACAGTGCCGTAACAAAATTGGTAGCTCAGGTACAGACTGCAACTGCAGTTCTTTTGCAACTTATTCCTTAATCAAAGATGAATACTTGTCATAGCTTTATTGGGCGTACGATATTGGCGTGCGAACGTAGGGGCCAAAAATGCGTGTCTACGACCGACTTCTACAAAAAGAACCGCTATAACAAGAATCGATCCCCCGACCTTTCGCTCACCACACCGAGATTCCAATCACTCGGCTACGACGACGATGAAAAACCATTAGCCATATACAATTGCAAAAAAGTCTCAACTCAAATCTAGCCTGCCCTCAATGCATGCATTGTCGCGGCGGATGGCGATGACGTCGCACTAGAGATGTCGCTAGTTGGTAGGCCGATTCGTGTAATACAACTGGCGAATACGCGTCCCGGCGGAAAAGCCTCAGCGGACCAGATTCAGCGGACGTGGACCTCCTCTGAGGAACAGCTCAGTTCAGTCAGCCCCTAGCCACTGGCGGAGTAGATCTCGCAAAACATCCTCAGTGACCAGTCTGACGCGAAGGTTAAAATGGCGGACTAGTCAAAGCGGACCATCCCTGTCAGCCAGCTCGGGAGACGTGGTAGATGGGCGACGAGGGAAAAGACGCATCTGTGCCGACACCGGCAGAAATCGACAGACAGGTGGCCGCTCGGTCTGTTCTGAGAAAAGCTGCTTATTTTTTAACTGCAGGATCCAAGAATGTTTCGAGGAACTGAAATCATTTAAACCATTTTACATAAATATATTCTGTCGGTAATTGAGTTCATAGATGTTCATCTTTTGATCGTAAACAGTACAGAAAGTTCAAGGTGTCAGATTACGGTTAATCAAAACAGGGATCAATTTCCGTAAAGCTTCTCAGGCATGTTGGTGGGTACTGATGTTGTTTAAATGCATTGCAATTGAGACATCCCAAAGTTCCAGCATTGTACGACCAAACGTAGCTCAGGCGGTTTACTCATCTTCAGACATCCAATACTAGGGGAAGTTGGGGCAATGCCGGAGTTGGGGCAAAGCCGAAATTCGAGATATTTCGAAAACCGTAAGACATGGATGCCACCTGTCAGTGATGCTCTAAAGCTTAAGTGACTACAATTATCGCATGTTTGTTACGAGTCGTCATTCGGAATACTTCGACTGTGAGGGCGCCAAGAGCGTTTTTAAGATGCGTTTCCCTTGTACTACATGCGCCTTTGAAGCTGCATTTCTTACTCATTATGCTACCGTTTGTCTGGCCAATTCGGTCAAGTAATCTTTAGCATGTCTTTGCATAAGTGTGCTGCTTATTTGAAATTTATACAGCACGTTGAAAAGTTATGGGCCTGCAAATGAAAGTATGGCAGGCTGGGGTAATGCCGAAAACGTGCGATTACGCACGTGTTAAAAGCACGCTACGTGGACTTTACTGCTGTAGAATAGCAACGCGTATTTTTAGTCACACAAATTACACTTTCAACCGACACAGCGGCCTGTTACCTATAAGGAATGATTTACCTGGCATGTTCTTATCATATCACACAATTATAACTTCCAGTGTGCACCGCGTCCTCAAGCTCTTAAAACGCGTGTCAGCTTTGATCAATTCTGGATAAAGTTTGAGATAAAATGGCAAAACATCAATGTCGGCATTCCCCGTAGATCATTTCTCCCATTTTCGGCTTTCCCCGCAGTCCGGGGCAACGCCGAAAAAGTCACTTCTTTGATATTTTTAGTTTGTGCGCTTAACCCTCGCCCCGTTTGGGGGGCCATTTTGGCCCCCCTATGGTTTTTCCTGAATAGCAAGAAAACGGCGGCGCGCAGCGCCGCCAAATTTTCAGTACCTTCCCGGGCATCAATTTGACACCTTCACACCAAATTTCAAGTCTTAGGTCACCTTAGGTCAGGAGTTATTGAGGTCAAACTGAGGTCACGTTCGAGCAAAAATGAGCAAAAAACATGCAATCTTGAAACGCTCACCAAATCTACAGTTATCAAGCAATTTCAAAGTTCTTTATATGGTCTAGTAGACAAAAAGCGGCGCTACAAAACTGCTATCTCGGAATTTCAAAAATTTTGGTTTTTGACCAAAAAAAATAAAAAAATTGATTTTTTTTTTAAACTGAGAAAAAATCCAAATTTTTTCCGAATTTCGAAAAAAACCGGAATATATGTGATAGTCCCAGCGCTCTTCTATATACATACCAAATTTCAGATCGATATCTCGTTTTTTGGCCAAGTTATAGCGAAAAAAACTGTTCAAAAATGATGACGTCAAATTTTTGAACTCAATTTTTAGCGATTCTAGACCACGTACGGCAAAAAAAAAAAATACCACCATTGAACTCCCCGTGACAAGCTGCATCGATTCGATACCCATTTTATGCAAAAATATCAACTTTGAAATTTGACCTAATTTGACCTGACCTTGACCTGACCTTGACCAAAACGTGACCTAAGCTGGCCCCAAAGGCTGCCTGACCCACATAATCGCATTTGTCATGTAAAATGGACCATAAAACATGTATCACACGACACTTTCATATGGTGACCCCCCGTGACCTGACCTCAGTGACCTGACCTGGTATCAGTTACCTCAAATAGCAAAATATGTGTTTGAAGAACATTTCCCCATGGATGATTTTCAA